ATTACCTAAAAGATTTACGCTTTATAAACTGTTGCCAAATTTTTAATGTCAATTCAACAAGGTTTCAAACATGTTTTACAAAGTTTTACCGTTTTCTAAATTTTTAATTTCTCACTGAAATACCTACTACTTTTTCCTACAAAGACGAACTATGTGTTACATCAAATGAAATATTATATTATTAAAATTTTTTAGATTATTTATAAACATTATATTTTTACCTTATAATTGGATTGTCAATCCACCCATTTAAAATATTAATTAAACGGAGTCGCAACAAAAATATATTGGAAATCTAATTGAATCAAATTGAAGTTAACCTTCTTCTAATCCTATTGCATAATATTGACTTTAATTTGGGTTTTTCGTATATAATGATAACCATTATATATATATATATATATATATATATATATATATATATATATATATATATATATATATATATATATATATAATATATATATATATATATATATATATATATATATATATATATATATATATATATATATATATATATATATATATATATATATATATATATATATATATATATATATATATAGACACATGTCCAAAAGTTTGGAATACTTACAAATAATATATCTACGCCTATGGTAGTTTAAAAAAACTGTTGTTAATATTTACTCTATTTTCTCTGTCTTTGAGGTTTATTTATTATTGGTCGGAGTCGTTATAAAATGGTATTTACCTATATAAAAAAAATATATATAAATATCAATAAAAAAAGAAATATTGCAATATTCCAAACTTTTGGACATATGTGTATATATATATATATATATATTATATTATATATAGTTGCAATGCAAAACATCATAGTCGTCCATGGTATTCTACTCACTCGGCGAAAAATTAAGTGAAATTTGGGTCGTAATCATGTGCCTGCAGTATGCACAGTTCAGCGTTTATTGGTAGTATTTGAGGTAACTGGTGCGGTAACGACCCTCCATTACCTCGAAGGGCTATTTCATAAGAAAACATTGCTGATGTACGTGAAAGCGTAACTGAGAGACCAAACACCTCCATCAGACACAGGAACTCGATTTCTCTATGTTGCCTTTAGAGACAATTTTGTGTATACTTTATAAATACCTGCACCTACACCAGTTGACTCAAGCTCTTAAACCTGCTGACCATGGGCTGCGTCGTGATTACAGCAATTGGAAAAAAATCATCATTAGTGATGAAGCTCATTTCATCCTCAGCCATCCTCAGACAGATACACAAGAAACCTCTACATTCTCAGCAAGTAACAGTCTGGTGCGCTATATAGGCTGGGGGTGTAATTGGCTCATACTTTTTCGAAAACGTCAAGGAAATGCTTGTTTAGAAACCTTTTCGGACTGCATTTGGAAAATTTGAACCTGCGTGACATGTGGTTCCAACAAGAAGAGGCCACGTCGGGACGCGACACAAAAGACATTTTGAATGTTATTCTTTTCCAGGAAAGTTAATTTCGAAATTCGGCCTCCAAGTTTGCCAGATTAAACTGCACTGAATTTGTTTTAATAGGGTTTTTTTAAAGGAAGGGTCTATGCCAATAAGCCACAAACTATTGAGCAACTTAAATACAACATTTGAGGCAACATCGCCGCTTTACAAGCTAAAACATGCGAAAATGTTATGCAACATGTTCTTACTCAAAAGGGCGCGTCTCTGTTTGGTTAGGAGAAAAGTTCATTTAAATAATATAGTGTTTCACACATAACTGCCAGGTCTATATTAAATATCAACCCAACCCTAGAATTGACAATTGTTTCATTTGTATCGTAGTTATTCAAAAATTACATAAATCTACCTGCTCTCGTTCTGACACCTAATTTATTTATAATAAATTAAAAACTATATATTATAATATTATATATACCATATATTATACATATTATATATATATATATATTAGGGATGTATATATATATATATATATATATATATATATCTATATATTATAATATATTATGTTAAATATAATAATTAAATCTATTGCTTTAAATCGGTAAGAGAATTTGGCCTTGTGAATTTATAGATTTATCTTCTCTTACTTAAGTAGGTAGCACTAAAACACTTGTATTAGAATATATTATGGTTAAAAATAAAATAAAATTTCTACGAGGTATATAAAATTTAACGATAAAAGAATTTGTTTTATTTATTTAAAACTATTTGTTTTATTTATTTAAACATGTTTCATTATTATTTAAAATGACATGGATAATAATTATAGGGATGTTAACTGTACAGCCAAAATTTTAGCGGTGGGGGTTGATAAATTAGTATATACATGTAATGCTAACATAGTATTTCCTAATTCATTAGAGGCGGCACCAAATCGCTGTACCTAAGGGGCTGACATTTTGAGAAATCCCTTTAATGACATGGCACCTCTTTTTTAAATTTAATTCCCTTAAGAAGCCGCTGGGTGACCCAGCCTGGGTCCACAGTTAATTATATATTTATTGATTAAATACTGTTTCTAGATAAGGTTACCACCTTTAAGGTGCCTAAAATAATTTTTTTGCGAAACTCATTTATCTTAAATAAAAAATGTTTATAAAGCCAATAAAATTGCATGATATATTTTGAGATTCTAGTGTTAAAAGCTTTTAATGCCATTTGCACGTTATTTTACGATTTTATGCGTTTTAAACAACGTTTATTGTTTCTATTTTTTACATCTAATATACTTAAAAACAAAAAACCAAAGAGACGTAAACTTGTACGAGTATTGTATTAAAGTTTTTATAACGCATTTCGTGTGTATTTGCTTTAATTAGCAAAGGTGGGAAAATTAAAGTTGCTTTAAAGGGCAGACGGTAAACATACAATGGAATCATAAAATAAATTATCTACAACTTTATTGTTTATAGTTTTATTATTTACTTGTGCCGCACAGCAGAGTAATTGTGCTAAGATACTATCTGAGTTTTATTTGTTGCGCCATTAAGATTTAGAAAAACTGATTTATTTAATTTAATAATATCACAGTGATATTATCACTTTGTTTCGCAGTCGTTAATTCTTTCCTGCGATAGTAACTCTTGTAATGATAACTCTTGTAATGATGGTTCTCTTTAATAGATAAGGGTCATATAAATTTTAAAATAAAGAGTAATAATAATGGAAAAAATTGAGATAGCTCCATTAGTACGAGCCCTAACAACTATATATTGGAACAAACAACTAGTTTACAAATAAAACGCCAGTTTACTGAGGGCCGGTTTATCAATGTCCAGTTAAAGTTGCAGTTAGTTATCTGGTAGATAGTTTCCATGGATACCATTGTTCTCACAACGATGGATATGGAATTTAACTGTCAGATAGACTAACTGGGACTTAACCAGAGATTGGTAAACCGGCCCTGAATCAACTTGATTTTAATGTTTTTATAATGTATAATTGGAATTAGCAATATTTTAGATGTCATTTTATAGCTGTGGGAGAAAATTCTCATTATTGTATGATTGAAATTTATTAAAGTTATTCATGTTCAATAAATGCTGACAACTTAATGTTGGAACAAAACCTTTTAAAGTAAAAAAATCAGATATTAATAAGGCGTAACGTCGCCTTTTCCCCGAATAACTGCCTGAACTCTATCAGGCATCGTATTCACAAGGCTTGCAAAGAGTTCAGGTGTAAAATTATCCCAAATTTCGTGTAATTTGGTACGGAATTGTGGTATGGTTCGTTGTGGACTATTTCTCACATGTCATCTTGTGCCACAGTGTCTCTATCGGATTAAGATCCGGGCTGCTGACAAAACCTTAATATTATTTTCCCCAAACCATTTTTTGTAGATTTTGCAGTATGACATGAGGCATTGCTGAAATATAAAATTCCCATTGGGATATAAGTTTGCAGCACTTGGTAAAAACGACATGGTTAGATTGTCCTGATATTTAGCTGCGTTAACAATCCCTTCAATAAAGTGTAATGTGCCCAATCCTTTCGCCGACATACATCCCCACACCATTATAACTTGTGGAAACTTGACTGTTTTTTCGAGACAATCCTTGTCTCGAATGATGCGTTTTTGGTAGTCTCCCACACAAACATAAAATTTACTTTCGTCACTGTAAATTACTTTACTCCAGTCATTTTTAGACCAAGACAGCTTAGATTTAGCCCAATTGTAACGAAATTTTTTTCGAACTTCCGTCAATAATGGTTTTTCTTTAGCCTGTAAGTTTATATAAAGTAAATTTGCACGATAAATAAATAAATGTTTCTTCTTCCTGACTTGCAAATTTTATTTGTAAAATAAATACTTGTTTCAACATATAGTTATTAGAGCTCGTACAAGTGAAAACTAGATTTTTTTGTAATCCCGAGAATTAGGTTTTGTTCTTGCAAAATATCCGCTGGCTAAACTAAAGCCTTTGTTGATACTACAAGGCTTGTAGTACAAGACCAGGACCCTCAACCAGACGTTGTGCTGTAGTTCTTGGGATGTCATGACGGAGTCTGCAAAGAATTTTCAACAAAGATAATAAATTCCACCTCTATAAAATCCTGGTTTTTCATAAACTACTCCCAACCGACCATCAACAAAGGCTTCATACGCGGGCATGTTGGAGATTTATATAGGTAGAAGAAAACGTGATTCTCATGACGACTGACAAGTCTCATTTTAACTTGGAATAATTAAGCACTTTTTTTTTTAATTTCCATTATTATTCTTAATTTTAATTTATTTGGCCCTATATCTTTCAAATTTACAATTTGAGGGCCAGATTGAAACGCGTCACCCTGTATATATCTTGTGGTTACTTTATTAATGATAATTTAGTAAAATAAATATTATTTCGTATACTACCTACAACACGTAAATATACACGTGTTAGATCATTGTTTAACAAATAGCGGTAGTTTAAACTGCAATTATTTATTTAAATTTCAACAAATTCTTCACGTTAACTATCGTAACTGTATGCAAAATTTGTAAGTTTTAGGGCTTAGGTATAATTTCCTACCTTCTTCTATTTGTCTCCACGCTTCATCCTGATTTTCTTTGGCATATTTAAGAATTACATCTACTAATGGAATCATTCTCCAAGAAAGATTAAATTTCTCACGCAACCTATGACATAGATCTAAAAGGATTTCGAATCCTCTCCCTGCGAAAAAAAGAAAAAAACAAAATAAAAACCAATTAAAAAAAATTGTTTTAATCATGACACAGTTCTTAGTATTGGGCAGTTTGAAATCAAGTCAACTTCAATCCTATTTTCATACTTTCATTACAATGAGCATATATTAAATCTATTAGTAGTGAATATATTCACTACTAATAGATTTAGGATAATACATGTAGTCACGTAATTTAAAGCCTTTTTGCAAACGGCAAACTAAGTAGAAGTATTGCTTATAAACTATTTGTGTAAAAGTAGTCACAAGTGCAGAAACCTCTCTAATGCTTTGATGATTTTTGATGTAAAATCTGGTTTACCACAATTGATATTGATGGTGTTTTACGTGTGTAATAAACTTATTGCGAATAGTTTGACAAGCATTCAATAAATTACTGATAGCAAATTAATAATTTCATTAATTTAAAATTATTTAGTTCTATACGAAATTAAAATTACTTATAATGATAAATAAGCCAACAGAATTGGAAATTTTGATAAAATGGAGAATGTACGGTTTCAAATAATAATGTAGTATTAATAACATATCAATAAAACAAAAAATATAGGAAAATATCGTCGGTGGTTAAACAGTAAATTCTATGTGAAGAATTTTAAATTTTTGCAGTAGATTAAAAAAACTATTCATTTTATTTAAAAACGACAGCTAATGTGTCTGGGAATCTAATTAAATTAAAACATAGGTATTTCAATTCAGCTTTTATTTAGAATATCAGGTGTATAATATACGATATATAATTTAAAATTTTTCACAGGATTTATTGAAAAAAAACACCCTGTTTATTATTTAATTTTTGGATTCTTTAGAAAATTGTAGACATATTTTATCTACAATTTCAGAAACAGTTGAAGAAAGGTATACATTGTAGATAAAATATGTCTACAATTTTCTAAAAAATCCAAACATTAAATAATAAACAGGGTGTTAAATTTAAGTATTACACCGATAAAATAGTTTGGTCATTACAAACATGGGTATTAGTTTCTATATTATGTATTTGCCACAACTTACGCATATTGGTTAGAAATAAGAACATTTTTCTGTGACAATATTGGTCAATTAGTTGTTACTTTGCCATTAATTTAAATGAAATTAAGTTGTAAACAACTTATCATGTTAAATATAAGATTATTAAAATATATCATTTTGACACAAAGAAATCAGTTTTTACCAAATATTTATTTGTTTAAAATATTTTTTGGTAGGGATGCTAGCAAACGCAAGGCAGCCATTGTGAACCAAAGAACTTCTTTGTTACGAACCAGTAAACGAGTGTATGAAATACATGCAGTACATAATTTTACGCAGATAAAAATGCAGTGTGTGTTGAGTGAACTATTAATGGTGAGTACTTATTTATTTAAATGTCACTTGTCCATATAATTTTAAGAAAAGTAGGAATCTATATAATCTATATAAAAATTGGCAAAAAGGACAAAATATCTTGTGTAACCATCGAAAAATATTACCACAATTTTTATTAACTATAACAAATCGTGTAATTAATTATCCCATTTATAATAAAATGATATTTAAATAAATTTCATTCAATTACAGAAGGACATAAAACTATTATTCTTTTTAATCAGGACTAATTTATTGACTTTTGTTACCTTTTTATATTTTATGTATAGGTTGGTACATTATTACTGAAGTATGAGATAACTTTTTGAATATTTTTTGTTTAAAATGAGTTAGCTATAACTATAGTTAAGATTTTGTTTTGTATTCTTGTTTTATTTTTTTGGTTAAAAATATTTTTATATGTATACATAATATTATTATACTCTATATTATACCCTGTATTTTGTTATGAATATTATAAAATAAAATTGTTTTATTGAATTTATTTAGATTTTCAATAACCAGCCTCTCCTGCATTTAAATAATTTTATTGCAAATAAAGGGCTTATTCCTGACAATGAAATTTTCGTTTTGGGCAAATTAATTCTGTCGTGATAACAAGTTGCTTTTTTGTGACGAAATTATTGTTGTGTTGCAATAAAGCACATGCGTTTATCCCAAATAGGTGCATGTTTAATACAAAGAAATGAAAAATTTATTAGAAATAAATATTTAGTTGCAAGAACATAATTTGCTATTTGTAAAGAAATGTATGAATTTACGTCAAGTTTGTTCGAAACCAACTTTACCAAACTAAGTAATTACTTGCCTTAAGTCGATATTAGTTGCGCAATATACAACCACAGGAATCCTGTGACAGGATTAGTTTACCTAAAATCAATTTCGTTTCTCTCAAATAAATTGTTTTTTCGGTGTATCGAATTTATTCCATTTGGCTGTATAAATTGACGAGCTGTGACTTAATGGCGTTTTAGTCAAGGGCTGAAGTTAGCTTTATTATAAATTGGGAAAAAGTTAGGTTAAATCCGTTGACAATTGACAATGTTAAATGTTCAACAAATAAAATTTACTTTACATTCTTATTTGTGCTCGTCGTAAATAAACTATAGAATGCAACTCATTTTATACACTTCTCTAGGCACTCGTTATTATTAAACACTCGCTTGCAACCTTCGCTCGTGCCTAATAAAACTCTATGGCATTTATAAAACTTGATACATAATATACCTACTATAATCTACTCCCAAAAGCTGTGACCACAGATTATACAACTTTGTGACTTTATGGCATTTTAGTCAAAGGTTAAATTTATCATAGTGGCTTTTAATTATTAATATCAAAAATGAGGTTAAATTCGTCAGATGTCAAATATTTAACAATTAAAATTGGCTTTAAATTCTTATTTTAAAACTTGATTCATAATATACTATACTAGGGCAAAATATGTATTTTTTTATTGAATATATATATTTTGACTATAGTCAAAACATTTCCAATAAATTGTTTTTTATCATTTTTAAATCATTTTAAATTTAAACCACCATAAATCCCTTTTATATAAAACAATATAAGGGTTTCTTTATTAAAAAAATATATTTAGGATATTTTATGACCAAAAAATAATTAAATAAATTTTAATTTAACTTTAATTTTGTTACAAACTTATTTAATTACAGCCACGTGTAACTTTGTTGAAACTTTAATTATTTAAATGGATACTTATTTTAAATTTAAGTATTTAAATACTTCATTTTAATTGTTTGATAAAATATTAACAGCAATTTTTTAATACGTATACATTAATTAATATCTAGATTTTCTTCAATACATGGAAAAACCAAATTTAAACCTAATTATACTTGATTAGGATTAACTAATAATAATATTTTGTCATACGAGAGATAATGTGCATTTTCTACTTCAATGCATTTCTATGCATGTTTTTATGCATTTTCTTCTTCAATTAAGTAACTTTTATTACAAACAAAATTTATTATAACCTCACTTTTTTCAAATTTAAAACCCTATAGTTTCAAACCACAGTGAATATTGAAATCGACCAATTACTGATCCCTAACAACGCGTGAATAATGAGTTCATTATTCCCATTTTTACGCCGGGCGGTTATGATGGTTACCATGATATACAAATATATTCCCTATAGGAAATAATATCAATAATAGGCAATAGGAGTAGAAAAAGGTGAAGGTAAAAGAGGTTGAGACCTCTAATCGTTATTTATGTCATTAGGTTAAGAAGTAAGGCTTTTTGTGCTAAGCTCAAGGTTTGAAGGCCTACAATTGAGCGAAGCACAAAAAGGCACTTCTTGGCCGAATGGCATACAACATTTTATCTTTAAAGCATTTTATATAGGTCAATTTAATTCAACATCAAAGCGGCCTAACATCACTTTTTAAGAATCTCATTTATTTATTAGCTAAAGATTACATGAAATGTACAATAATTATTATTGCTTTTAGAAGCAGTACTAGTTTGACAATACCAATTGGTAGCTTAAGCTACATGATTTAAGTAGAAATGGATTTTTGCTATTACATTGAATTCAATTAATTGTTTAATAAATAGGTAGGTTTCTAATTTCTATTTTTTGGATTTTTATTTAAAAAATAGGTAGTTTTGAATGTTTAAGCTGTGTTTTACATTTAATTTCACTGAAAACTTAAAGCAAATTAAAACTTAAAGATAATTTAAATCGTAGAAAAAGAATCGTGCGTTTTCTTGGTTGCCTAACCTAACTTTTTGTTTTATTATTCATAATTAATTTTACAATAATTTAATGAAAAATATTAAACATTAATAGTAAAGCAAACAAATTAGTGCATATTATAAATAAATTAAACTAGTTTAGTACGTTAATTTCTTAGAAAAGGATTAATTTGTCAAAACAATACCCCTAGCGAGAAAAAATCGAACTAATTACTTGCCTCATAAATTTTTTTATCGGCCTAGGCCATAACTAGGTATTTCTTTATCGAATGTTGACAACAATAAAGTTTAAATTATAGACCGCGTGGAGATAAAAAATGTTTATGGTAATTTATGATGTTGGTGTTAAAATTTTCATTTTATTTTATGAAAAGATTTATCTGCAAATATTATTAAATCAGACACTAAAAGAAAGTTTTTCCGTAACTAACAAATGAAAAATAAATACAAATTTTTATTTATTTTTAACACTAGTGTTAAAAGTAATCCACTTTTAACACCAGTGTCATAAAAATGGCAAGCTTTAAAAAGTCCACATTTAATTATGTTTGTGGATAATATGCAATAAGTTTAAAAAACGGCATTTTAGTTACGAGTTTTAATTATATTTAATAAACAAGTGCCTACACGGAGAAAAAAGTTTATTTCTCCCAAATAAAAAAAATATTTAAATATGGGACAAGGGTACAGTTTATTTATCCTAAATATATTTTTATTCCCGACATATAAAGTTTTACTAAAGTATATTTATCGTTATTATTTCGACTATTTAGAGGTAATAACAATATATTCACTACAAATAAAAG